TAGAGTACTCGGCGGTAAAGAATAAATGACATTGTCAATACACAGTAGGGCAGCGAGTAATTTAAAGATTAACAGCAAATATGAAAAGTCATTTACAGAAAAAAAACCACAACCTGCCTTCTTGCATGACATTTGTGCAACACCACCATCTATCGATGAAATGGGTTAACTATTGTACTTTAGATTTACATAATAAGGTTAATATATTTTTTAATATATTTATTACGTTCTTTATGCAATACTTTTGTTTACTGCGTTTTAGATATAATTTCATCATTATAGAACATTATTTTACATCATTTAATTATGTTATGATTTATAATATTATATTAGTTTAAAATGTACTTGATGACTCAACAAACGCCACCATTGAACAAATTCGTACCTATACTTTGTAGCCATACTTCAGAATATTTATCATAACTTTTGATGGAATGAACTAATTTTAATGAAATAAAGACTAAATGTAACCTGAAGATACACTTTATAAATTCTTTAACGATTCTTCTGATATAAATTGGTACTTTATACGTGATACGTTAACAAACAAACAGACAGACAGACAGACAGACAGACAGAAAATTCTAAAAATGGTAGAAATGTATTTAATTACTTATTTTTAGTACCACTCAATCACTTTTATTATATAAATCTAAAATGTACAGACATCGGCTATTTACATTTTTATTATATGTATAGATAACTCAAAAACAATTAGTCAGACAGTTAATCTATATATGGGACCACATGAGAAGCACTAGCTTTCAAGTAAAATAAGAATCATCGAAATCGGTTCAAATTAAAAAAGTTACGAGGTAACACATAAAAAAACATACAGTCGAATTGGGTACCTCCTTCTTTTTGAAGTCGGTTAAAAAAGGAGTCCAGATCCTTTTCTGCCGAGGATTTATACCAATTTCTGCAACCTAGCAGCAGCGTGTTCTGCTATGTTTCGAATTGAAGGGTATAGAAAGCCAATTTAATAAGCTTGTAATTACAGGCTGTGAAGTATTACACCTTAGTCCTCAACGATGACAACGCATCTGTAGCTTACACTGTTTGAAGTTATTGGCACTTACCATCAGGTGGTAAGGTTGTTTGTTTCTTAAATTTTAAAAGAAAAAATATGTATTTAATGTAATGTAATTCCAAATGCCTTATATCGATATTACCGTAGAGTAATTAATATCTATGTAACGTTTCATATTTAGACTTCGTAAATATGATCATGTGTCAGAACTCAGAATACCGCGTTTAGCTCAGTCTGTTTGTCTATGTGCAATTTATATGTGGAAAACGCTTCCACAATATAGTCCTGAACCACAAGCAGTAACATTTATTAAATAAACAATAAAAAGCCTAAAGAGCATCGATTTTAGCCAAAAATAATATATAAATATGGATGAAAAATAGTGAAATAAGTGAAGTCAGCCCACCAATTAGTAATCCAACTTCAAGAAGGAGAAGGTTCCCAATTCGTTTTTTTGTAAGGTAGATTGAGGCAAGTGTGACAGTGGGGCAAGTGTGACAAATGCAAATTATGCGGAATAAATACGTTTATTTGGTTAAATGCCATTTCTTGAACAACGCAGGAACTTTTATGCTATTGACTATACCGACAGTTAAGTACATATCTTCAACTATTTTATCGACAGACGTTATTTTTTTAAAACTACTCAACTGGCGAAAGCCCGCACAATTTTAAGAGGCGAAGTTTTTAAGTGTTTCGATACGTCATTAATTTATTTTAAACAAGATACAAAGTGAGTGATAAAGAATAATATTTGTACTTATAGTGTAATATGTTTACGAGTATGTGACCTGAAATCCACCATTCCTTGAAATACGGATACAGTTACACCTACCTCAACTAATATCTAACATCGGGGTAAGTGTGACAGTGTCGCGCTTACCCCCACCATCTTTTATGAGCATATCGTAACTAGTGATGGGGCAGCATATCGTTTTTAACTGACTTTCAAAAAAGGAAGACGCTGTTTACCTGTGTGTTTGTATTGTTTACCTGTGTGTTTGTATGTATTTATATTTAAGTATTTACTTAAATATAAGTACAATAAACGAACGAGCGAAGGGAGTGAGATCTCAGAGTCACGTTAAACGAAACTGTGTTTTGTATGTTAGTAGGTACTTGTGTTTGTATGTTCATATATCTGTATGATTTTGTATGTACGGTGATAACTTTTGAAAGACTTGTCTGATTACAATTAAAGAAGGTTGGTCAAATCGTACCAGACGACTAAACGATGGCGTCACTATATGCAATATTTATGAAAAATATCCATATTTTTTAAGGTCTTTAAAATCACAAAAATATTTTTGTTTTTGTAACTGTTCCAAATTTATTTAAAATAATGGTTTCAGAACGCACTGGAATGCACCTAATGACGATTCATTTCGCGTATGAAAGAACTTTGTATTCAAAGACTATAATTATTCACATTTTCTGAATAGTTGTTAATTGTAATTCAATTCAATTAGTACGAGGGTGGATTGAAAAGTACTCGGCCTAACCAAGAAAATAAACACATACTAAATCAGTTATATTTTTATTTTTCTACATAATCACCATCAAGTTCAATACACTTTTGCCACCTCCCCTTCCAAGCATTTAGACCGTTGAAAAAAAATGATTCTTCCTTAAAGTCAAAATATGCGTCTACAGCTGCTTTGACCTCGTCGTTTGTCGAAAATCTTTGACCTCCCAAGTGCTTTTTTAGGTTAGGGAACAGAAAGAAGTCTGATGGTGCCAGATCAGGTGAATACGGCGGATGCGGTAACAGTTCAAAGCCACAGTTGTGAATTTCAGCCATTGACTGTACTGACGTGTGAACACGGGCGTTATCTTGATGAAACAGGACTTTTCTTCTGAGCATTCCTCGACGTTTTTCTTTTATTTCCTCTCGTAAACGACGTAGTAAGGTGCAGTAGTAATCAGAGTTTATATTCTGACCCCTTTCAAGATAATCAATCATAATCACACCTTTCGAGTCCCAGAATACTGAAGCCATCACCTTATTTGCCGACAAAATCGACTTAGCCTTTTTAGGGGGTGGTGAACCAGGTCTTCTCCACTGTTTTGATTGTTGTTTTGTTTCCGGTGTACAGTAATGAACCCATGTTTCGTTCACAGTAACAAAACGATTCAAAAAATCATCTGCATCGGCTTCAAATAACTCCAAACAGTCGCGTGAAATAGTCAATCGCGTCCTTTTTTGTTCAACTGAAAGCAGTCGCGGAACCCACCTCGCAGACACCTTGTGGAAACCCAACTCGTCGACAATGATGTTTGGAGTTCGTTCATAAGAGATGCCTATAATCTCGGCTATCTCTCTAATTTTTAATCTGCGGTCTCCCATTATTAAATCAAGTACTTTTTTAATATTTTTGTCAGTAGTTGACGTCGAAGGCCTTCTAGAGCGGGGTTCATCTTTCACACTCTCTCTACCACGCTTAAATTCTGCTTTCCATTTTTTGACGGATGAATATGACAGAGCACAATCGCCTAATGTACTGACCATGTCAACATGGATGGCTTTTGATGATAGCCCCTTCTTATGGAGGTACTTAATGACGGCACGCTACTCGATTTGCTCCATTCGCGGAAATTATGTCCGATTACTTTGTTAATAAATTTATAAAATCACAACTAATTATCGCACACGTTTCGAACTTCACACAATGAACTAGTCTGAACTGCACTAAACAATGTGGGTAGATTTGATTTTTAGAATTGAATGGATCTGTGTTAGGCCGAGTACTTTTCAATCCACCCTCGTATGTAGGCATCAAATCAACTACTATACTAATTTATTATGTACTGGATTCATGTCATACAAATAATTATGTAGCTTCATAGTAAGCTAAGCGTTTTGTTCAATTACGTAAAGATTATTCTGTGCTTTTGATTTCTGGACACCGAATATGCATCTTGGATATTTGTGAGAGACATTATGCAGACTACAGCTACACAACTACAATAACATACCCTGCGATTGCTATGTATTAATTGTAACATATGCATTGATACACTTCGCCGCCATCTCGTTTTTGAGCTTGATACCAGAGTAATTTCTAAGATCTGCGAGTAGAATTCTTCAATACTAGTACATATTTACATACGTACTTATTTTATTACACTAACATAAACCATCACACACAATCGTATATCATTATATAAATCCAATTCTTATTTTAGATCACTGAAGAAGATTACATATGTTATTACACATATGTGATGCTAACCTCAAAAGTATTGTTGACGTTATCATAAAAAATTGTGGCTATTTAGATATGATTTTCAAACGGGATGATGTTTACAACATAAAAACAAACCAATCTAGATATAGTTTGTTTTGGGACATGAAAAATAAAAGTCAAGTCCAGCTCCTATAGAAATTTGGCCATTGTCCTTTAAAATGTTCATATATAATACAAATAGAAAATTGGTAGTTTTTGAGGTATGAAGGGGTGTGTCAAAAGTGGTGAAAAATATCAGTTCACGGGGTATGCCTTTGGTTTAACTGAGCGAGAAGTCAGAGCTTTAGTTGGCCAATATGTTCGTCGCAATGAAATCGATACCCACTTCAAAGATGGTATTCCGGGAGACGAGTGGTTAAGTACAAGGAACAAATTAACGATTAAAAAAACCTGAAGCAGTCAAATCGCAAGAAGAAAAGCTGCTGACTAGTATTTCCCAACGAGTTCGACGATGTGTTGTCTGTTCAAAAGCAACAATTTAAAGGGGGTTTCAAATAATGTAATCTTGATGAAACAAGTTTCTGTCAAGACCCAGAAAAGTTGAAAATTATTGGCCTGAAAGGTTTTTAAGCCACAAGAACCACTAGTTCACCAGGCCGCGATAATACATCTGTATTGATCACATGCAATGCCTGGGGCCAGAAATTTCCTCCGTTAATAATTTTAGAAATTTCCTCCGTTAATAATTTTTAAAGGAACTTATCTTTGAAATACATGGTTACCTGATGATAATTCGATTAAATTGGAAATTGCCAGTAGTGTAGTTGTACCACTTCTAGACCACCTGAGTCAGACGTGGTTCAACGACGTTCGTCGACGCCCGATCCTAAAAAAAAAAAAAAAAAGGTTTTGGCATGCTCTGATCACGAATCCGCGGTCCATTTTTGTGTAGAATGCACGGTTCCGGAGATGTGTAGATCAATTAGCTAATATCTAATTGATATCCGGTAAGGGCCTCCACCGTCATTAGCGTCCCATTGTTCCTATTTCTATTGTTCTATTGTTCATTAATCACCTTCATTGCAGCGTGTGCGTCGACTATATCAGTGCTATTGTTTATTATAATTCTTTGTTTATACAACGCTAATCTGAATCATCAATAAAACACATTACATAATTTTGTTACAATTTTTATTTATAAAATACAAAATCTTATTAATTATTATCTATAAAATAGGAGCGAAACATCTCATCCACTAAAATATCGTTGTACAATGTGTTCCTTGTAAATATACCCGTAAAACTATGTATTGAACATCCTTGAAACTTATATAGCAAATACATTAAGCAATATTCGCCACAAACTGAAGTCCACTCATTCTGAATCCTATCAACATTCCAGTTCCATCTTTTACAATTCCTTTTTAAAAACTCTAGATGATATCGTACAGGTGATCGTCCATATGAATCAAAATATTGACCGACGTCATTCGTATCGATATATAAAGCTACCCAATGTGACCCTGGTTTATCATCTGTATCCAAATTACATATTATATACGTTGGTACGTGGGTATACATAGGCAGTCTATTAGCTGCATAAACATTATTTTCTAGACTGGGGTGAATCTTTTTCAGATGTTGTTGTACATCTAGTGTATCCATGATATTACTGCTATTAGTAGATTATTACAGTACCTAGCTACTCAATGAATAACATAGGAATGGTCAATTATAGTGATTTCTACATATTAAATTGCATTTTTGTGATATACAAATCGTACTTGAGTCATTGATCACCAAACAAAACACAATACGAAGAAATGTTGAGATAGGCAACGGAAATGTGAGATAAACTGATATGTTTCTAAATATTAAATTGCATTTTTGTGTTATACAAATCGTACTTGAGTCATTGATCACCAAACAAAACACAATACGAAGAAATGTTGAGATAGGCAACGGAAATGTGAGATAAACTGGTTGACGCATAAAGTAATTATCAACTCATTACGGAAATACTTTAGATTAGAATTTTTACGTACTGGTGGTATATAAGACCAACAAACGCAGTCATCGAGTTAGTGTACGGTCGTTTGGCTACAGTGGATCTATCAATAGTACATTTGTGTTACTTCAATACACCAAAGGCTATGGATGTAAGTGTTTATTCTATTGACTAAATTACTTTTTTTCTGTTATTTTCATGTGTGTGTATTATTTTATTTAAATATTGTGTATGTATATGATTAAGCCGTGGTAACTCAGATGGTTAGCGCTAGCTGTAAATTTCACAGTACGCGACCCGGGTTCGATCCCCGCCAGCACCAATTAAATTGTTAATAGCAATTTTAAGTGCTTATTACCACGTGCTTGGTGGTGAAGGAAAACATCGTGAGGAAACCTGCATGTCTGAGAAAATTTCGAAGGCATGTGAAGTTCGCCAACACACATTGAGGGAGCGCGGCGGACATTTCCTTGCTCTAAAACCCTCTCAGAAATGAGAGGAGGCCTATGTTCAGCAGTGGACTTTAATAGGCTGTAACTTTAACTTTTTTAACTTTTATGATTAAGTGTTAACAAATTGATATTAACATGATAACTGTGTTGTTGCAGAAATCATTGAGCTTCGATGAAGATACCTATAAACAGTATTACTACTCGCCACTCTCCCCTCAAGAAGAGAGTGATGACCTCGTCATTAATAATAACACATGCGATGGTGGAAAAAGAAAATCGCAATCGATTGATCATTTTTTTGAAGCTGAATCAAAAATAAAAAAGAGGAAGGGAAAACTTCAGTGAAGTGTGCACCAGTGCTTTTTTCTCCACAATCATGGAAGAGAATACGGAACTATTCAATAGCGAATTAAATCAGGAGTTGTCTAAAGTTTGTGAAGAAATGGAGAGGGGTCAACTGTTCGATTCGTCATACGATGATGAGTTGTATCATCACTGTGCGATGGTTGAAACACAGTTTAAGTATGTAAAATAAACATTCATTTCGATCATAATTTACATATTGTCTTATACAGTTTTTAATAAATTTAAACATTTTAGCAGTCAACCACTACAACTTGGAAGAGGAACGAAGCGAACGTGCAGCAAAGAATCCAAGATCATCAAAAAACCAACAACGGAAGCAGAAGCGCATACCTCTGCAGGGAACAGTATCAGTAACGATGATCAAGTGGAATGTCCAACGTGCCATATATTTATCAAGAAACGGTATTTAGCTAATCATTTTAAAAGTAATGTTCATAAAAATAATCTTTTAAATTCACATAATTCTTTATCAAACGTTAGTGTTATTGAATCTGCTTTTGGAAATAGGATTTTAACTTATAAAATCAAGAGTAGAGTAGATCGTTCGACATGGGTAAATTTTGAAACTCCTGAACTATTTTTAAATTCTATTAAAGATGATATTTTATTTTTATTACAAGAGTGTATTCATCAACACATAATTTTTAAGGTAAACTTCATATTGCATGCTGATTTTGTTCAACAAACTAAAGATATTCATGATACGTTCGATTTTCAAACGCTTAACTATATTATTTGTCAAGGAGATGACTTAAATATTTTTCTTTCATCTTTAAATGATACAATTACTACTAAAATTAGTGCTTTCGAAAAAAAAGATAGTGGATGGAGTCTAAAAAACATAAAATCTATAGACATGAATGTTAATAAATTTAACCCCCTACGCGGTACTTCATACATAGATCTTCCTCGTGACATAAAATTAAAAAATACTGTTATAAATGTAAAAAACAAGGATTATTTTTGTTTTAAATGGGCGTTACTCTCGGCGTTATATCCTGTAAACAAACACACCGATCGGGTATCATCGTACGTTAAACATGCAAATAAACTTAAATTTGATGGTATTTCCTTTCCGGTTAAAATTTCTGACATAGCAAAAGTAGAGAAATTAAATGATATTAGTATTAATGTTTTTGGGTTAGAATATAATAAAGAAAAACGATGTAATTCTATAGTAGGTCCATTATTTTTAACAAAGTGTCGTAAAGATAGACATATCAATTTATTATTTTTTTCCAAGGATACAAAAAATCATTATTGCTATATAAAAAATTTATCGCGGTTAGTTAGTAAACAAATTTCAAAAGACGGTCACATCATGTACATTTGTGAAGCATGTCTACTTCGTTTTCCATCTCAGGAAAGGTTAAATAACCATGAACAATACGATTGTGCTCACATTTGTACAGTATTACCAAACAGTGAAACTTTAAAAAAAAAGAATTGGTTTGGTCAACCTATTTCAAATGATAAAATTAAATTTGATAGTTATGAAAAAAAGTTAAAGATACCATTCGTAGTTTATGCTGATTTTGAAGCATTTTTAAAACCAATAGAATCATGTTCTAACGATCCTTACAAACCTTTCACTCATAATATTCAGAAACATGAAGTACATAGTTTTGGATATTATATAAAATGTTCATATGATGATCAATTATCAAAATATGTAACATATTGCGGACCCAACTGTGCACAAGTGTTTATGGAAAGTTTATCTAACAATCTAAAAGAAATAAATAGACTTCAAAAATATCCACCACTTCCGCTAACAAATGAAGACAAAAACCAAATTTCAAATGCAACCATTTGTCATATTTGTGAAACTGAGTTGGCAAAACATTTTTATGATTTTGATTGGTACACTGGTAGTTTTATAGGTGTTGCTCATGAATCATGTTGTTCGAAGATCAGAACACCTAGTTATATACCAATATTTTTACACAACCTTAGTCACTATGATGCTCATTTTATTGTTCACGCGTTAAACTTTTGTGATGGTGAAGTCGAAGTTAACCCTCAAAATAAAGAAAAATATATATCCTTTTCCAAAAAATTAAAAGTGAATAACCACGAAATTATATTGAGATTCTTAGATTCATTTAAGTTTTTATCGTGTAAATTAGAAGAATTGGCCAAAAATCTCAGTAATGATCAATTTCAAGAATTACGTAGAAATTACCCTAATGATGAAGATTTCTTTCGTTTAAAACGGAAAGGTGTTTATCCATATGAACTTATGACTAATTATGATAGTTTAAGTCTAACATCGCTCCCTGAACAAAAATGTTTTTATAGTTCACTCACAGATTCACATATTTCAAATGATGATTACAATCATGCTAAAGATGTTTGGGAACATTTTGGGTGTTGTAATATGCTAGATTATTCAAACCTATATTTAAAAACAGACGTTTTACTTTTATCCGATGTATTTGAAAACTTTAGAAAGTTATGTATTAATACATATGATTTAGACCCTGTCCATTATTACACAGCACCCGGTTTAAGTTGGGATGCAATGTTAAAATATACAAAAATAGAATTAGAACTTTTAACAGATTATGAGAAAATTGCATTTATTAGATCAGGTATCAGAGGTGGTGTATCTCAATGTAGTAATCGTTATGCTAAAGCTAATAACAAATACATGGAGGATTATGATACAGGGAAACCAAATTCATATATCACATATTTTGATGCCAACAATTTATATGGTTGGGCTATGTCTCAATATCTTCCTACTGGTGGATTCGAATGGGTAAATCCAAATACAGAATTTAATGTGTCTAAGACATCAGACTTCGGTTTTATTTTAGAAGTTGATTTGGAATATCCAGATGAACTTCATGATTTACATTCGGACTTTCCTTTATGTCCAGAAAACATTTGTGTAGGCAATATTAATGAGAATAAACTAGTCCCAAATTTAAATAATAAAGATAAATATGTAATTCATTACAGAAATTTAAAGCAGTGCATAGAAATGGGGGTTAAATTAACTAAAATTCATAGAGTTTTAAAATTTAAACAGTCTCCCTGGTTGAAGATGTACAT